GTATAAGTCGGTGTATAAGTCAGTGTATAAGTCAGTGTATAAGTCAGTGTATAAGTCAGTGTTTAAGTCAGTGTATAAGTCAGTGTATAAGTCAGGTGATTTCCGTTCTTCTCAAAGAATCCAAGATGATGAGACGTACCAATGTGTGCCAAACCACAATGCATTCATTGTTATCACGTGTACAAAGCATGTTTTATTGTAGTTGAAGAATTAATAAGGAACATATCAAAATTGTTGTTTTGTTTTTGGCGCCAGTGTCGACGATAAAGTACAATGTGTCGTCTCGTGGAATTCGAGAAAAAATAATTAATACTAGTGTGTCGGTTAATATCGGATAATCGCCGTTAAAACTGCAGTGAGAGAGTATACATTAAAAAGACGGAATATAAAAACGTGATGAAACACTATTCCAGTAGCCACGTTCCAGTAGCCTCCAGTGAAGAAGGCAGGCCAACGGGTCACCAGTAATGTGTTGTTTCGCGATGGTAATTTACCTATGCAAATACAGCTAGGAGTTCTTAATTTTGTATACTTTATTTGCAATTATTTGGTTTACATCTTTTTTCCAACAATCGAGCCGAACGTTCAGACGGGCATAATTGGGTACGTGCTGGCTGACACGTACCGTGGAACTATTTTATTTGATGATGCACGTACCAAATACATTAGTCTGAATGCAGTAATAGATCCTAATTCTGATTGATATTGTAAATGACCTAAATGTATAAACTTTAACAAAATACATGTTTTGTAGTACAACTTTAGAAAGTAACGATTTGGCAAGCTGCTTACGATCTTAGATTTATCTATTTAGAATATTGTTACGAGGCCATTTTACTATTTTGGTGCGAAATTGCCACAACATATAGCGGTATAAATAACAACCTAAAGAGATAGATCTCAAAGCTATTCAAAAATGCTACAAAACAAACATATTATGTGACGTAAATGCAGTACTAACATTTGACTTGTCAAGATTCGGTTCCAGTATTTTGCAAATGATAGTTAGTCGGTCCGGG